CTGTGTGTGTGTGTGTGTGTGTTTGTGTGTGTGTGTGTGTGTGTGTGTGTGTGTGTGTGTGTGTGTCTGTATATATATATATCTATCTATCTATCTATCTATCTATCTAACTATCTAACTATCTATCTATCATCTATCTAAAGAAAAGGCATATTCTATACTGGAAAGCATAGTCTGCTTTCTAAAATATTTTTAGGGCATAGAAGATATCTTATTTGAAATTACTTTTATTTATTTATTTATTTGATTATCTATGGATTTTATATGCTTCTCCAATTAGACACATTTATGAGCAGTTATGAACATTTATATTCCATGATCCATTAATTAGAGTAAAACAAAGCTAAAAACATGGAGAAATTAACAGAAAAGCAAAACAATCCAATATAACAATAAATCCTCCTAGATCAGTATGATATCAATTCTTAGCACTATACCGTCAGGATCATTCAAGTATCCATTGATTCTCAAAACCTTTTGGAACAGTGTGGTCTGAAAAGAATGGATTACATATTTCAAGGACTAAAAAATGAGGATGATACAATGCCAACCCCTGGAGTTCTTGGTGTTAGCATCTCCTAGGTGTTAGGAGTAAACTCTCCAATAGATGTCATAAGGCAAGCATATCGATGTAAGGTCTTGCAGAGCCATAAAGAGAGTCAAAGAAAAATTATTGTATACAATTATATTTTTGATTACAATTATTTGGAAACCTGCTCGAAGCCATGCAACTTCTAAAGTACTGATGTCAGATGGTCAAACAAAATAGATGTCATTATAATTTGAGACTGTCATTTTGGATCTTCAAAATCTTCAAAGGAGCCTGATGGCCAGCTGCAATAATCTAATTGTGATGAAGCCTCAGGCCATGGTGATAGATGGTGGCATTTCACCCAGTGAATTCATAGATATATTAAATTGGAGAGTGGGTTGATCCCTTAGGCATGCCACGATGTAAGGTAGTAGATAAAAAGTGAAGACTCTAGAAGTGTAGGAATTATGATTTTTAGCTTCACTCACATTTGGCACGTTAAATATATGTTGCCTTTAGTTGAGTTAACTTTAAATATCAAAATGATGTATGATTATCACCAGCTCAGATCTACCTTCCGCACTGCTGCAATGATAGATTGTGATTATCATAATCCAAGCTGGACCATATTGCACATTTTGTCACATCAGATTTCTTCCATCAGAGGGCAGTAGTGATGCATGCTTGACATCCGGGAGAGAATATTTGCACTGCTTTCAACATTTATGGATATTACCATACAAGGTTTACAGACTAATTTAAAGAGCAGTGTGGTAGAAATGAATACTTTCTTTACTGACACTAGAAGGCATAATATACTAAATAATATGTTATACATTATAAAAATGTATGTTGAATAATATACACAAAAGCCAAACAATATCTGTAATTCTTCAGGCCCTAATAACATGTTTTACCAAAGTGTATAATTATCTCATATTTAAATATGGATTGTCTTTACTTTAAAAGTAGAGGACTATTTTTCTAAGGCAAAACTAAGGGCTATTTTTCTAAAGCAACACTAAGGACTAGTTTGATTTAATCTCTTAAACTCAGTTATTTATTTAATAATATTTGTAGATCATCCCAATCCTTTCTTTTGAGTAATTTTTGTTGTTATTAAAAAAAAGCATAGTGAGAAGTCCTCAGGGACTCTAAATCAGTGGTTTTCAATCTGTGGTCCAAGACAAAACAGTTTGCCACCAGAAGTTGTGAATGCCCCAATACTGGAAGTCTTTAAGAAAATGTTAGATAGCCATTTGTCTGAAATGGTATAGGGTTTCCTGCCTAGGCAGGGGGTTGGACTAGAAGACCTCCAAGGTATCTTCCAACTCTGCTATTGTATTGTACCATTGAGTTTCACAAAGGTTTGAAGAAATATTATGATTTAAATCTTGGGG